CGGGGAAAACAAACACAGAGGCCCTGCCTTCCTCTTCCTCCCTGCCTCCCAATGTCTTTTTTTCTGCCTTTCTCTTTTCTCGCTTTCTCTTCACATGGTCACAATTTGTCTCTGTCTCTCTGTTTCTCCTTCTCCTCACTCTATGGACTTGCTTCTCTCTTCTTCACTTGGTAGCTCTCATTTCTCTCTCTCTTCCATCTCCGTCTGACTCAGTCTCTGTGTCTCTGCTCCTCTGTCTCCTCCTTGTACTGTCTGTCTCTGCTTCTCTTTTCTCTTGCCTTTTTTCTCTCTCCTTGCTCTGTCTCTATCTCCTGCCCCTCTCTCTCTCTCAGCCTCTGTGTTTCCTCACTCTCTGACTCTCTGTTTTTCTGTCTGTCTCTTTCTCTCTCTCTAACTCTCTCACACACCCATACTCACCATGCCCTTCTGCCTCCTCTTCCATCAGCTCACACCAGAGAACACCTTTCCTGTTCCAGACTCCGTGCCAGACGTGGATGCTCTCTGCTTCCCAGCCACACCACCACCTCATCTGTGTTTGAGAGAAGCATCACCACACAGGGTAAAGAGTATGGATGCTGGGGTGGACAAACTTGGTCGGATCAAGCCTGCTTTCTGCACTTGTTAGTTGTGGGACCTCGGTCAATGGCTCTAACTAGCAACCAAGGTACACACCAGCTTGCATCAAGCAACATACCCAGACCATGTATTTCTTTGTGTTTACTCGCTGATCTAAGATGAACGATTTCACGTGGGTTTTGCCACATCTTTGGTGTAGGGGCATTGCAGATGGGTGGGAAGACTCAAGTAGAGCCCTACCACTAACAAGCTTCACAAAGACTGTCTCCTTATCAGCAAAAGGAAGTAAGAATGCCTCTCCAAGGCCAGCCACCAAGACTAAATGAGGTAATGCTCAGAAAATGCTTAGCATGATGGCGAAGCCCAATAATCGTGAGCTCTCTCATCACTCTTCCGTTCACTGGGTGACTGCTCTGGGGAGTCTGTTCATGGTAGCAAACAGCTCTGCACTGAAAGTTGCACTGAAGGGCCACTGGAGAGCCTTCATGCTCCAAGTAGGTCACTCCCCAGGGCCCAGTTCTCCTCACCTCTGGCCCTCTAGTTTCTAATGCCCACAGTTTGGGCAGATGGAAGTGTCCCCAAACGGAACTCATTGGTTACAACCTCTTATTCTGGTGAATGTCAGGGGGCATAAAGGGAAATTCTCCAAAAATCTAGGATGACATCAGGAGGGGGGTATTTTTTTTTCCTTTAGCTTTCAAAATCACCCAGGTGGACTCTGATGGGGAAACAGGGATTTGAAATTCCAGTCTACCCTGGGTGAATGTTCTTTCACTTTATTCCAAATTCTGGAATGAATGGGTCAATACCCAAATCAAATCTATTGCTACCAAGTCAATTTCCGTTTGTAGTGACACCATATGTTAGAGGAGGGTTTGGGGGGCTGTGGTCTTTACAGAAGCAGGTCAGCAGGCCCCACGGGATGGATTCAACTCCCCAATCTTTAAGATGTAGCCAAAAGCCACCCTTCTGACCCTGACAGACTTTGAACGAGCCAATAAACCAAGCCAAACACACTGCCATAGAGTCACTTCTGACGCATAGTGGCCTTCCCCTGGATTTCTCAGGGAAGACCTCTTTATGGGAGACTGTCGGTCTTTCTTATGTGGAGCAGCTGGTGGATTTGAACCTCTGACCTTTCAGTTAGCAGCACAACTCGTATCATGCCACACCTCCAGAGCTCCTTTGAATGAGCCCATTGGTGGTGGTGGTGGTGGTGGTGGTGGTGGGTGTAAGTTGATTCAACTACAGCTCATAACAACTCTCTGAACAGTGGCTGTGAATCTTGCCGCATCCTAAGCCAATCTCATGATCTCCAACACACTTGACCCCATTGCCACAATTACTTTATCAATCCAGCCCATTAAATTACTCTGTCCATCCCTTTCAGTAAGTGTCATCCTCTCTTGAATTTGAATGAGTTCATAGTGGTCGCAGTGTGCTGTGTGCTGTATGAGTTGGAACTGACCCCTAACTGACCCTCCAGAAGGTTCCTCCTCTCTTGAATTTGAATGAGTTCATAGTGGTCACAGTGTGCTGTGCACTGTATGAGTTGGAACTGACCCCTAACTGACCCTCCAGAAGGTTTTCAGAGGCAGTAAATCACATGGGAGGAGATTGCCCATCCTTCTCCCACAGAGCAGCTGGTGGATTTGAACTACGTGCATTTGGGATTGTAGCACAGCTTCTTGTGACTAGGCCACCAGTGCTTCCCACACACGGTGATACATGAACAAAGGAATAAAGGAATGAACTAGTACATAAATGAGGAAACAAATGGGTCTACTCAATGAGAAGAAATACTGGGATTTCTCCCAGGCCTGTGTTCTGTACTCCAGGTGCACAGAAGTGCATTCATTCTGTAGTTTTTCAGACTGCAAAATGTAATATTCTCTCACCTTTAGTTTGTTCTGTTTACACAGGGTCTCTATGAGTTAGAAATGCCTCCAAAGCACCTAACAACAGCCCCCTAGCCTCTCCACTCCAGCTCTTCACCTGTCCCCTTTCCTGAAGTCTGTTCCCTCCATCCTGGAGCCCTCTCATGTCCCTCCCAGTTCCAGACCCCACCCCCATCTTCCCTGGCTTCCACTTCTCCACTGCCGTTCTCACCCCATCCCCACCCCAGCATGGTATTTGCAAACTGAGGGTGCTTTCATCTCCCAAGATGGTTTTGTAAGGGGACACATCGGACACAGACGCTTCACAAAATGATTTATTTGATGAACCACAATGATTAACAGGGTCAGAAAATAGCACAGACATTCCAAAGAAATAGTGGGAGGTGGGGAGATAGGGGCCTTCTAGCAGACAGGGTGATCCCCCTTCTCTCCCCAGCCCCCCAGAGTTCCAGGCAGTAAATCTCTGTGGGTCTTCCAGGCAGACCCGAGCGGGGCACACTCTTCCCTTCTAGAAGCTTCCTTCTGCCCTGACTGAATATTTTGAGAACAGCCCCGGGGCAGAGTGAGTCTGTGGAAGCTTCTCCTAGTCTGTGAGGACGCTGAGAGAAGCCTGTTTCCCTCTTGTCCTGGCTCCATCCCAGGGACAGTCAGTCGCCATACCCAATTCCATCAAGCTGGGCTTTTCCTGGCTCCATGGATCGTGTCTTGTCATTGTGTTCAGAGTCTTCCAAAAACAACCTCTGGGATGGACAAACCAGCCCCCATCTCATGGAGGCTCTGCCATCAGTTTCTCCCTCAGTTTCTCTGGCAGCCTGGATAACACCTGTCAGTCCCATCACTGCTGCCCAGCCACCGGTCCCGGCCCCCAGCCCAGCAGGAGAAGCCAAGAGGTCCCATCTCCATGGTGAGTCCAGACCCACCACAGCCGTAGCCCAAGTCCTCTTACAAACAGAGCCACTGACCCTGGGAAAGGGAGCCTCATAAACTCAAAATAAGGTGGGGAGGGCTGGGAAAAAGACCAGGGAAGCTTTTAACCAGATTCCTATTTCGCTCACCGAATTAGGGAATGAGCTAGACCCAGATCCTAGGCATTCCACAAGCCGGGGCGCTAGACCCTGTGGGGAGAGCTTTCTGAGCAGGGACCCTGGTGCAAAGAGACCTAGATTCCTCTCTTCAAGCACGGACCAGCCGTTAGAGCTCCCAAATCTGGAGGAGGGGGGAGTGAACTCAGTGTTAGCTTAGATGGCCTTCTTCTGTCCCTTCTTCCCTCGGGGATATTGTGCAAAGAGGAAGGTTGAGGTGGGGCGCAGGGAGTGGTCGGGGTCTGTCTAAGGGGCACAGGCACACCGCTCTCCAGGTTCTCAATATGAAAGCGTACACACGCATGCAAAGAGCAAGTCTCCCTCCTCAACCCTGGTGACTCTGGATACCAATAGCACCAGTGCCCCAGTAAAGCAGCCAGGGTCCTGGGTCGAGGCGGGTAAATGGTCTGCATCTCACAGTATGAAGATGGTTCAGAGGGAACAGGATTTGGAGAGGAGAACCAACAGCATGAGCAACGTGCAGACTGCACCCAGATGGGCCTTTAGCCTCCCTTTCTCTATTTTTCTTCTCCTTTCCCAGCTCCCCAGGCACCTAAGGAAACCAGGCACCATCATTCACCTTCTCACCCCCAGGCAATCTGCAGAGAGAAACTGCCTTTCTGGGCCAGGAGCCGGCTATTGCTGGAGCCCTGGAGTCTGAAATGGCACTGAACTGACCCAATGTCAGGGAATGTTCTGGAACTGCCTGCTGGCACATAGCCCATGCCCGCCAGCAGTCCATTCCCCTGCTCTCTCGGGAAATGGGATCAGGAACTCACACGCTTCTGGATTCTTAACCCTTAGGAGCCTTCAGAAAGAGGAGGTAAAAGGGGGGGACGGAGGGATGGGGAAAGCTGGGGGTGTGCAGAGGGTTAGTGAGGAAGGTGAGGGTTAAAGCGAAGATAAGGGAGGAGGGAAGGTGAGAGAGGAAGAAGGAAGGTAAAATTAAAAGAAGAAGAGGGAGCAAGCAGCACAGGAGACCCAGAGACCCCAGGATTCCCTCAGGCATCAGTGTTGTCACCCATGGTAAGAAATTGTGCTGTCAGTGCATAGGGATGTGGTTCAAATCCACCAGCTGCTCTGTGGGAGAAAGATGGGCAATCTCCCTCTGGACAATTTACTGCAAACCCTCCAGGGAATCAGTTATGGGCCGGTTCTGACTCCACAATGCTCAACAACAACATAACCACCCCCTGGAGAAACAGGCTGCGAGAGGCTTAAAAAGCTGTGCCGGGTCAGACCTGCAGAACAAGGGTGAGCTTGCAGCTCCCATCTCCTTCCACTTTGACCCAGACCTTCGAGCAAAGGCTCAGTTAGAGGAGGCAGGGAGCAGCACCAGGGCCCAGGGCAAGGGGCGTGAACACTCTACCTGACTTACAGAGAGCACAGAGCAAAGGCCGAGGCAGGGCGAGGAACTGTGTGGACTAAGGATCCCGGGTGGGCCCTAGTCCACCACCAGCGTCTCCTGGCTGTAGGGAATGGACTTCTCCTGCGTCTGCTCCCCTCCTTTGCCCAGGTTGGGGCCGGGCCCCTGGCTGTGGCCGGAGGAGTAGCTGGCCGACTTCTCCCCACTGCTGCCCGGCAAGGCGCCCCGGCAGCGGCGGTGACCACAGCACAGCATGGAGGCGCAGGCCTGGCGGAAGCGGGGGTCGAAGAAGGCGTAGAGGAAGGGGTTGAGGCAGCTGTTGACGTAGCTGATGCAGGTGCAGTAAGGGAAGACGTTGAGCAGGAAGAGGTCGAAGTCGCAGGGCCAGTGCAGCAGGCTGCCCAGCATGTAGAGGGTCTTGACCAGGTGGTAGGGCACCCAGCACAGGGCGAAGGTCACCACCAGCACCACGATGATGCCCAGCAGGCGCCGGCGCTTGCGCAGGCCCTCGATGCGCTCCTTGCGAAAGTGGCTGGCCACGGTCTGCGCGATGAAGAAGTAGCAGGTGAGCATGACGGCGAAGGGCACGGCGAAGCCCACGGCGGTGGACGAGACGCCCAGGCCCACCTCCCAGGCCCACTCGGAGCTCGCGGGCGCCACCAGCGAGTAGTCCATGTAGCACTGCACGCGGGTGCTGTTGTCCAGGTCGCCCGTGGCGCGGAACACCAGCACCGGCGCGGCCAGCAGCGCAGCCAGAGCCCAGAGCAGCGCGCTGGCCGCCGCCCCGCCGAGCCGCAGCCGCAGGCGCGCACTGGCCACCGGCCGCACGATGGCCAGGTAGCGGTCCAGGCTCAGGCCCGTGAGGCAGAAGACGCTGGCATACATGTTGACGAAGATGAGGTAGCTGCTGAGCTTGCAGGCGAAGGCGCCAAAGGGCCAGTCGTAGTCCCGGTAGGTGTAGGTGGCCCACAGCGGCAGGGTGACCACGAAGGTGAGGTCGGCCACGGCCAGGCTGGCGATGAACACGTCAGCCGAGCGCCTCTTGTCGCGGCCGCTCCGGAACACGGTCCAGAGGACCAGGCCGTTGCCCGTGGTGCCCAGGAGGAAGACCAGCATGTAGATGGCCGGGATCAGGGCCCCCGAGGACTTCCACTCCGAGTACTCGCATTCCGACTGGTTGTCCAGCCCCCCGTAATAGTTATCAAACTCGTCCTCCATGCTGGGAAGCTGGGGAGAAGGCCAGCAAGCCGGGGGTGGGGGGACCCCCCTGGGTACCAGCTCAGGGACTGGGTCACCCAACTCAGCAGACGCCCCCTAGCTGGAGCCTCAGAGGATGTGGACAGAGCCCTGCGCTGAGTGGGGACCGGCTCCCTCCAGATGGACCCGAACCCCGAGGGTGTCTCTCATCTGCAGCCCTGCTCCACCCTCGGCTGTCCCAGTCTGGCCAGCACACTTGCTTGCGTCCTCCTGAGTCTGTCCTCTTTTGTCTGGTCACTCCCTCCTCCCACCTCCAGACCAAGCCCTCACTTGTGACTCAAGATCTCCAAGGTTCAGCCCACTTGTCTTTTTTTTTTTTTCCTCTTCCTTCTTGTCACTGGGTAAAAGAGACCAAATTGACCCCTGCTGTCCTGGGTGGAGTGTTATCTGGGGGCGGCAGCCTGCTGCTGCCTTCCTGGCCCCACCTCCTTCTCTGACACCTATCTCCGCTACCCCCTTTCTTCCAGGCCCCAGGACTTGGGTCACTGGCTGGCTCCTACCTGCCCTTTGGGGCACCCTCTCCTCAGCTCTCCCCACTCTCCTTTTCTCACTCTTTCACATCTCCTCCAAATGGGGCAAATTATGCAGATCAGACTTCTGGCTGACCGGAGTCTGGGAAGGAAGAGGGTGTAAGATTTTTCCTCCTCTCCCCCCACCCCCAAGGCCCTGACATCTGGCAAGCCCTCTGTCAGGCAACCCTGACCCCTTCTGTGCCCTCAGCACCCCTTCACCCTTGGGCCCACTTGCCACTCTCTTTCCTCCATGCCATCCCCTGAACCCCTCAGTTCTGACCCTCTGGCCTAAAGCTTTGTGATTTGCAGACGAGATGATGGGAAGATTATTCTAGAGTTGGGAAGCTTTGGGCAGATTACAGAGAAAGCTTTAGAACATTCAGGACATACTCGGGGTGAAAGCAACCCTGAGGAGTGGATTTCCTCTACTCATCACATCTACCGAGAAAACGGAAAGCCTGCAAGCTTTGCCCAAGGTTCCAGGGTGAGTTGTGTGGAACTCTTGTTTTTAGCCGGTGGGGTTTTTTCCCCTTCTTCTCCTTCGCCTTCTATCTTCACAAACATAAGACAGTACTTGGCCCAGAACAGGTGGTGAGTAGATGGTGGAATGAATGCGCATGTGGCTGAATAGAGAGCAGTCTGCACACAGTGCACTAGAAATCATATCAATTACTATGTGGTAAAAGCAGGGATATCCCTCTGTCCTCGGGCTCTTATGTGCCTCTCCTGGTTGTCCTGCCTTCCATGGACCAGGAGGCTTGACGATAAGACTGTGGGGAGGCAGGAAGTTGAAGTTAGAGGAGGAGGTAAAGCTTGGAGTAGCCAACCGAGCAGATTCGATGGACAGAGTCCCGTAGAAATTCACCCTGCTCCAACTGGTCACCTCTCCGGGAGCTGCAGGTGGGGAAGAGAGGAGAAGGAGGAGGAGGAGGAGGAGGAGGAGGAGGGAGGACGTGAGCTAAAGAACAGGCTTTCCACTCTCACCTCCTTCTTCCCACCCTCACCTCTCCACAGGAGTGAGGAAGCCCAAAATCAGATGAGTTTACACCCAGGGCAAAAAGCTTCTGAACTAGAATCCATTGTCTGGAGGGGAAATGGCTCACAAATCTCTTGCAAAGTTTCTACAGCAGGGATGTCAAGTCAGATAGAGAGTGCAGAGTGGCAAACAATGTGAGGCAGTAAGGAGTGGTGGAGACTGTGGCAAACAGCCTGACAAGCAAGCCTTTCCCAACTCCCATGGTGGTTTCCATCCAAAAAAAAACATGGCACCCAGTATTATTATGCTTTTCTTTTCTCATTTTTCAAGAGAATGTCAAAGTCTGAATTTGTGTGTGAGAGAGAATGTTCCTGATTTGTAAATGTGAACACAGCCCATTTCATTTAAAAACAAAGCAAGAAATTAATACATGTCCTTGGGGCCCTAGTTAATGCCTTTTTAAGAGGAGCTAGCTAAGAATAGAAGGTGGAAGAGCGACAGGGAGACAGAGCCAGGAAGAAAGAACCTAAAACTAACAAAGACTGAGGAGAAGGCAGAGCTGGAGCCTTAGGCTATGATGGGAGAGGCAAGAGTGAGGCTAGAGGCAGAGATAAGGAAGATGCTGAGAGCCGAGGAAGGCCTGCAGGACATTTGAAATGATTACCAGTGGGGCATTTTTCCTGAGGATGATAGCCTTTTCCCAAATGTTTAATCATTTTATATGCATTGTCTCTTTTAATCAGCACCAAAACACTAGACAGAAGATGCTTATTAGCTTCATTTCACAGGTGAAGAAACTGAGGTGTGGCCAGTATCTCCTACCTCTATAACTAACAAAGCCAGAATTGGGAAAATGGTTGCCATGAGCCCATGAGCCCTCCAACTTCCAACCCTTTTTTTTTTCCTTTTGTGTGTACCATCAAATCAGATCTGACAGGTACAGGAGGAGATTGTCCCTCCTTCTCCAGCAGAGCATCTGGTGGATTCAAACCACGTACCTCTAGGATTGCAGTGCAGCTTCTTGCCAGTAGGCCACCAGAGCTCCCTTACAACCCTTTTTTACATTTAGGGGTTTTATCTCTTTTGCTCACTCAGTCATTACTTTCCAGTCGGAAGCAATTCCTAGTTTATCCTCCAAGAAGCTATAAACCACATGCAAGGTTGCTCGCTTTTCTCCCTTAGAGTTTCTGGTGGATTCAAACCTTCAAAGAGACATTGCTGTTGGGTTAACAGGCAGCTCTGTGCAGACTACATCACCAGAGCAGGGTCAGCTAAGCAGGACAGAAATGTAGGACCAGGCTAGGAGAACTCTAGCTTTCTTTCAAAGAAACTCACGTGTTAAATTAGAAAGAGACTGGCTACTTTGAAAGCGTTCATCACATCATGTCATTGCCATCAAGGCACAGCCGACCCTCCACTGGGTTTCTGAGGACCTAGGAGGGCTTGTGTGGGAGGAGATGGCTCAACTTTCTCCCGAAGAACTGCTGCAAGATTCAAACCTCCGAGACTCTGCCTTTGGGTAAACAGCACAACTCCCTGCGGACCACCAGAGCATACAACTCCCTGCGGACCACCAGAGCATACAACTCCCTGCGGACCACCAGAGCATACAACTCCCTGCGGACCACCAGAGCATACAACTCCCTGCGGACCACCATAGCATGTAACTCCAGAACATGCTGGCATGATCCTATTTCTATTAAATATTGAGAAAAGGCAAAGGTATAGAGATCGAAGTTTATTAGTGATTACCAGGGGCAGGTGGGAGGGATTGTTGAATTGGGAAATGGCTTGTTTCCTATGTATTTACCACAATAAAAAAAGAGGAAAACATAGATTGGCTAAAATATTTTAGGATGGTCCCTAGCCTTGATCAAATAGAGCATACAAATCCTGGGTATTATGGTCATGACAAGAGTCCAGAATGCAGGCTGCATAGTGGAGTAAACTCGAGCAGGGGAGGGAGAATTGTACACCAAGAAAGAATTTTTCTTTTACTTTTCAAAGAGAAGAGCGAACTGGAGTGGGGGAAGGGTGGGCAGGGAGAAAAATGCAACAATGAATGAATGGAAATCCAAAGTCTCGGTAAACGTTCATTAAAATAAAGAAAAACACACTTTTAGAAATTGTCTTGATAATTATTATTAAAAATAACATAAACACACACACACACACAAAATCCTGCTGGCTTCCAGCCTGCGCCCCAAGAGTCAGCATCGTGGGATTTCTGGGTGCCCAGTGCGAGCTACAAGGAGCCCCGGTGGTAGCCCGTGCTACCTACGTGTCGTGCTGCTAACTGAAAGGTCGGAGGCTGGAATCCACCAGCTGTTCTCAGGAACCCAATGGGAGGTCAGAACTGACTCACCGCCCCGGGTTTGGTTTTGGATTCTGGCAGCTGCAAGGTTACCTGTCCCCTGCCTGCAGATCCTCGGTGGTCTGCAAAGTGGTGGTGGGAGCGTCCAGAAGGACGCTCACTGCTCTCCCGGGACACACGGAAGAACCGTCCAAGGCTGCTTGCTCCTGTGCATCGTTCGCTAGAAGTCTGTGCAAGTAGCAGAAAGACTTTCATCATCCTTATTCGACAGCCAGGCTGGGTGGAAACGCTTAACCTTAAACCACATCAGACTTCTTCAGTGGTCCCTTAAGCAAAAGAGACCTAAGAGTTGTGCAGGTCTCCTGGGCTCAAATCAGGTCCAAAATGTGGCCCTGTGAGGGGAAATAAGTAAAAGAAGAAAAAAAACAAAAGATGGATTCAGGCCACATTTAAGTCTCCCAACCTGTCTCTGCATCTTCCCAGAAGAATGCAGGCACCTAGGCCTTTTTACAGCCTGAAAGTGGGAAAGGGGAGAGGAAGCTCCAAGTGACCCTAAAATCAGGCCCCCTTTCCTTCCGTCCCCCAGCTGTTTCCACCTGGATCCTGGCCCAGATGGCAGCCTAGAGACCCTGGGGGAGAGGATACGGATCCACCTTTTTAATCCTCTGCCCCAGAGGGGGTGAAGAAGGAGTTAATCTCATCCAAGGAACCTGGGAAGGAAGCTCTCTGGTCAGGCCTGGGAGGGGGCCCGCTGATGGGGGCCAAGAGGACAGAGTGTTGATAAGATCCAGCGTCCAGGCAACAGCTGACTGCAGCCAGATGGCCAGCATGTCCCAGGAATGACAGGCCCATATGCAAATCAGCCAACTTGTCTTTACCCAGCCTGACCCCCAAGGTACAATCTCAGTCTGTCCCTAACCTTATTGAACCCATCGACAGAGAAGATAAAAGGTTTGCCGGGCCAGTAATCAGAGGAGGATTCTGTGTACTCTCAGAATATGAGAGTTAGACCTCTCCTAGATTCCTGGGGCCCACTCCCCATCACCAACTTCTCATTTCCCCAAGCCCCTCAAACTAGCACCTGTGGTTAAAATGTGTCCAAATACAGCCATAAAATAATGCACTGGAGAAGAGAGTGGGTCACCGCAGCACTACTCTC